AGTGCGAATGGAGATTGGGAATGTAGAAAAATAAGGGAGACTTAAGAGCAAAGTAAAGAAGGGGCCATGAATCTGTGTGTGTGTGAGAGAGAGAGAGAGACAGAGAGAGGGAGTGAGAGAGGTTTCAAAGGTGAAATAATTATAACGTTGGTTTTCATTGACGAAATTGCCCCGTTTGTTTTCCTCTTATTTCGACTTTTGAATTCACGATGACACATGGATTGAACTATTACTTCCAATAATTTGTCGAGAGTTTTTGAAAATAAGTGCTTATAAAATTTACTTTTTTTAAGAATCGGACATCAAAAGTAAGTAAAAGTAATGCATTCACGTGTAAAATTATTTTATTAAAAAAATATATGAATAAAAATAAAATTGAAAAAAAATAAATTTTAAAAAATGAGAATCAAACAAGAGTTTTTGCTCTTACCCCCTTAAACTGGGTATTAGCTTCCACTTCGTTGAATATGATCGATAGTGATGCTATAAGAGCTAGACCCTATTAAACCTTGACGAATCAGATCAATAATTGTTTACCACTAATTCTTTGAAGGATTATTTTTTTTGTACAAAATCATGTAGGGCGTCACTTGTGGATTTTGTAAACCATTTTGTATCCTATTTTGTACTTCTAGCATGGTCTTTCTTTGAATGTCAAATGAGCCAAGTTCACTCTCTAAGAGAATGTTTGGTGATAATTAAATTTACATTTTTTAGTAGATTCACTAGATTGTAATAGAAATTTTTGAAATGTGTTGTAGAAAAGTTGTGGGACCCACAAAAGATATGATTAATATTTATTGTTTGACTTCGACTTAGATTATAATCGAATTTTAATCCAGGGCTAAAAAACATGTCAACTTAATTATGAGTACATTTTACCACTAAACTATTCAACATTTTTTGAATGAGAACTTGATAAGCGTTGATCAGTTAATTTTTAACATCCACCATCGTCTTTTTAAATTGTTCGTTTTTCAAAAAAGAATAATTTTTAATATTTCAGATAATCGATTTCACCATCATTTTACCTTTTACGCATCAATGATTGAACCCTTCTTAAAACATTTGTGAGTAGGTGATCTTTAAACTTGGTAGGTTTGATTTCGGATCATGTATTTCGGGTTGCTTGTCACAAGAACTGATACCATCTTTGGAAGGTTTGCATGTTTGAATGTTACATGTATATTATAATACAGAGAATATGATGAATTTTTTTTTTTTAATTGTCAAATTGAATAATGTCCCGTGACAAAATATACACCAAGATATACACCAAGCATTGATGTATTTTGGATTATGACATTTGTACGCTCATTTTTTATACCATAGTTGACAATTGAATTGTTGTCCACAAATAATTGGATGAAAATTTATTCCTTTTAAACAGTCCAATTGGATAATACTATGTGATAAAGTATAAATGATGATGTACACCAAGATATACGCTAAGAATGATTTATGTTTTCAATAAAGCTCTAAATACAGGAATATTTTGCGAGAATGGATACTGATGCTGACGTAGCCAAATTTGATTGGCCTTTTTTTTTTTTTTTTAATGTTTTCCTATCTTTCGAAGGTGACGCGCCAAGTGTTTTTTATAAAAAAAATATGTACCTGTAGCATAATTGTTATGTTTTTTATAGGCATAATTACACAGAAATCTTCTTTTACTATTTTATTCTATTCAGCAAATACTGATTTTTATTTTTATTTTTTGGAGTGGGCACACACACCTACTTCCTAATCATATAAATACACACACCCCCAAACAAACAGAAGAGTGCATAAGCGACAAGGAGATAGAGGAAATCTAAGAGTATAAATATTAAATAAACAAACAAATGACTAGTTAATTTTATCTGAAAATATGTATGATTTTCTTTCTTACAATAGAAGAGTATATCATATTATAATCGTAACTCCCATTGAAACTCTATATATATACACACAAATGACTAGTTAATTTTATCTGAAAATATGTATGATTTTCTTTCTTACAATACAAGAGTATATCATATTATAATCGTAACTCTCATTGAAACCCTATATATATACACACAAATGACAATTTTATCTGAAAATATGTATGATTTTCTTTCTTACAATACAAGAGTATATCATATTATAATTGTCACTCTCATTGAAATCCTATATATATATATATATAGAGAGAGAGAGGTGTAAAAAAAAAAAAAAAGCTTTAGAAATATTTTAACTAAAAAAATTGGCTTGAGTCCAAATTTTTTGATTAAATATTTTAGATAATATGAAATCCCAAAAACCAATTTTTGTTAGGACTTTGAAGAGGATAATTTAAGTTTGAGTTGAATCCCATTGTACTTAGCTTAACCAAGATGGTAAGAGATTTGCACCAATTGAGCTATACACATATTAAGAGCCCCCGCGATGATGATGCATCTCACTCTAATAGGAAGATCAATAGTACATTCAGCCCTTATTTAGTAGGAACTAAAATTAAATTTATATTGAATTTTGATAAAAAGTTAATGAAATAAATAGTTGAAATGTTGTAAGTCCTCTAAAATATGTAGTTAAAATTAATTGTTGACGTTAACTTATATTAAAATTTTAATTTTTAATTTCTACCAAACAAAGATTCCATGCCAAATCCAGCAATATGCCATCAAATAGGTCGGAATCAAATTTAAATTAGGAAACATACTAATTCAAATGAAAACATGACATAAAATCAATATTACACTTAAAGAAAATAAAATAAAAATATAATATTATACGTTAATTATTTTTTTCTTTAAGTGGAGATGTGAAATTAGAATAATTTAATGTTCATGTCAACCATCGACTATCGAGGTTTATATATTATATCGATTCAAGTTTTTACAATTGTTGTGACGCTTGAAGTTGAAGTGGATCTGGATAAGGGCTATACAGAAAGGGTCGGACCAGTCCACTAGGATTAGGTAGGTCATAAATGGGCCGAGTCCACAGCCTCTTGTTCACTAGCCTTCTCACCTTGAAAAATGATTCGAAGGATTTAGGAAAGTTTCACAAGAAACCTAACAAAAATAAACTACTTCTCAATAAACCGTATAACATTTTTTTTTTCAAATTATTATTATTTTTTACACATTTTGTAGCAATTTCCTCAACCTACCGTCCACTTATAATAAACTGTGTTATACTCAACACTCATTCTTGTGCTACCGTCAACACTACTTGTAATATATCGTCGTCATCACTTGTAACATACTGTGTTACACAGCCAAAAACCTCTACAGATTCACACACTAGCACAATCAATCAAATTTGACGCACCATTATCACGACCACCATCTCAAAACCACCAAATATACACCACCTACCACCACCACAACAATCACACCTCCATCGCCATCACCACTTTATACTGCAATTTCACAAAAAAAAAGGGCAAAAAAAGATTATTTTCTCTTGAAAAATGAGTTACCATTACAAAGAAATCAAATAGATAACGACGTGAACACCATGAATGTGCAAATGTGATAGTGACATCTACGATGATTGAGCAAAATAGTGGTAGTGGTTTGATATTTACAATTGAGACATATACGATGTGGGGAGTAACTACAGTGGTAGATGGTGAAGAGATTTGGCATCACTGGGGGATGGAGGTGACTACCGACATTTGATCGATTGATTGACATTACGACTTGGACACAGAGGTGATGGTGGTTCATGGTGGGGTAGAAGTGGCGGATGTGTGAGTTGGGATTTGGTTGGTTAAGGAAAAAGATTATGTGAAATTTTGACGTTTTTTGTGAAAATAATGAAAAAAAAAAAAGTATTCTAGTGAATCAAAATTACAAATACTTAATTTTACCTAGATTTAACCTTAGTTTTGAAATTCAAATCAAAATCAAACGAATTTGGTAATCACCTATCCAACTGTAAATCGATTCTAATCAATGGAGTTGACAGTATACCTTTTGTTTATATATGGCATGATTAGCAATAGAAGTAAACTTGTACCTTTTAACCTTTTCATGGCCAATATATTGTGTCAAATCTCAAAATTGGGGATGTAAACTAGGCCGGGCATGGACTTCATTAGTTTTAAAAATAAATAAATAAATAAACCAAAAATGGTGTTGGGTCCCATGGGGTATGACTTGGGGGCCACTGGGTACACTCTGCACATGCTTTGCAAATGAATGATTCTGGACCATCAACTTTCTCATCATTTATCCATCAATGTCAACCTTTTTCCTGTGAGTCATTCAATTTTGTCCATTTTGTTCATCAGATAATTCCTTCAGCTATAGACATGACACAACCAATGAGATAAAAAGAGATACCCTATTCAGTATCACAGATGCACTATTTTGGAATTTAGGAAAAGGAAGTATCAACGATGAGGACCACATTTCGATACTATCATTAATGTTATCATCTTCTCCATTTTTGGTGGGCTCCACCGATTTATGGACATGACACATTCTTGATATTCTATATTAGAAGCGTTATCTTAAACTTTTTATACTTGTAGCAGCGAAGGTACTTTTAAATGAAATCCGACCTAATAGATATTAAAATGGTACATGGCTACATGCGGTGTTTTATATAATATAATATTTTAAAATTATCTACCATTCGGCCTTTAAAATGCTGGACATGGTGCACACACCCATTTTAATGTCCAGTTAACGGGCTCGGTCTACAAGGACCTACATTGCAGTAATTATAAAAAGTTAAGGATGATTCTGTCAAGATTTGAAGGTTGAAGAGTTATATGCATACGTAGCAAAAGTTAAAGACTTTCATTGCAATTTTTGCCTTGGTGCTTCTTTAGAACATTTTAGTCAACAAGCTATCGCCAGCTCTAAAGGTTGGAAAACCTTTAAAGTTTCCTCTAACAAAAGGAAACACAAATAAGCAAATCTCTAGCTTAACTACCATGAAAGGAATTTGGTACCACTAGACACTTCAAATTTAAGGTCATTAATAATAAATTTCACCCTTCCCTTCCTTCCAATATCTTTCAGTGTAGGGTACCCTGCATGTTCATCTAGTCCCACGTTAAGTTGTCAAAACTTAGCCAAATTCGATTAGGGCCTTCACCAAGAATGACAATGAAGAATTAATAAAATGAATGATCACAAATGGGAATTTTAACTGGTGAAGCATTGGCGGTGGTTTCTGATGGAAAACAAGATATGTCGATGATTCCAACGATTACCGATATTATATTGTTGGTGATCATTGATGTACGTAAACTTCTTTAAAAAATAAAAAATAAAAAATCTCTGCACCTTCTTTAATGATTATTTACTTTAGTTTTTTCAAGAATTACCAACATGAAGTTGTCGATGTCCTAGCACGTATTCTAAACACCCACCACATAAAGTTGCAGCTTACCAATTTTAGACATGACTTCCCATTTTCAATTGCCAGTAGGAATAATTCATTTGTATCTGACTTTGACATGTTGGGTTACCCGATATGAGTGAGGGGGTTGGGCCCCACACATTTATTGGCGTGAGACCCCAACACCCCATGTGAGTAGCAGGTAACTCAGAGTGTCAAACTCCGGGTACCTCTACAAAGTTCTTGCCAATAACATCACCGACAATTTACCATGCTATTAAAAACTAACGACTTCTTGTCGACTTTTAATTAAATTGGAGAGAAATATTAAATGATTTGACAATTTTGTCCTCCAATTATAAATCATATAAAAGTGTAATTGGCACAAAATCCCACTAACCTTTTTATTTAGAGTAATGTTATTTGCAATCGTTCACAATCCTAGTCGTCCTACGTACATATATTTGGCTACTAGTGATTTGACGCATTAATATGATAATTTTTTATTACTTCATGTATCAAATTATTAATCGTCACATGTATATTACGTAGGGTAATTGCGATAGAGAGGGACTGCAAATTACATTATTCTTCCATCTATTGCAAAATATCCCCTATCATTTTAGATTGATGAAAAATTTTCTAGATGACATTTTATGTGGGTCAGACCTCCTATTGTCTAACTCCATTACTAAAGCCATTAAATCCACTTAAAGAGGGTCAAAACAAAAAAAAAAAAAAAAAAAAAAAAAAAAAAAAAAACACAAAAAAGAATAATCGTAGGCGTGATCTCTCTCTCTCTCTTGCAAATTATATTAAAACCTTTCATGTTCTTCCCCCACCACACCACACCACACCCAACCCAACCGTATTCCACACCCTACTTCAAAACTTCATCTTTTTCACCAATTTCATCCCCACACCACCCTTATCCTTGCTAATAACTTTTGGAATCATACTACATGTACAATTTAATTTGACAATCTTGATTAACAACTCACATTTGACAATATCACATTCATCAATTAGAAAATTTATTTTTGAAAATCAATGGCCCAAATTTTGATAATACCAACATTGTCAGCTATGATTGTTAAACATGATTGTACAAATAACGTAATTGTAATTCTGGGCTATTCTTCTCTTTCTTGCAAAGAGGCCCTATGAAATGTTAGAGTTTTAAACTTCATACTTGCCATGTGGCTTGTCTATTTTTCCTTTATCTGTTTTCGACTCCGGAAAAATATAATGATATCAATTTGGTTCACTAATCCGAGAAAAGCACTAGAACAAAATCCTTTGTACAAGGCTTTGCTTTACAGGGGTCTTATCGACCCCTCACATGGGGTCGGCCCCATGCGGGCCCCAACGCCATAAAAATGGAAAAAAAAAATCCGATCCCACCCTTGCGAGGGGTCGGTAAGACCTTGTAAGTGTGGGACCTGTACGCCCAGCACTACTCAAACCACTAACCGGCCTAGCTCGTGGCTAGGAGGAATCGAGCAGAGAGTTAGACAAAGCCTCATTTTTTATCATCGGTAAGAGCATGAGCTGACTAGAGATGAGCCACACAATCACGGGCCAAAACGAGTGTTAGCAGTCAAACATAGGTAGATACACTCTGCCTATATAAAAAAATATATATATACTTTAAACATAGGTAGATACAGCTGCCTGAAACCAGGCAGCAGAGTTGCCTATATAAAAAAAATATATATAATAAAGTATATTTTTTTTTTAAAAATCGAAGGGGAGCTGGCCTGGCTCTTGCCAAACATAGGTAGATACACTCTGCCTATATAAAAAAAAAATATATACTTTAAACATAGGTAGATACAGCTGCCTGAAACCAGGCAGCAGAGTTGCCTATATAAAAAAAAAAATATATATAATAAAGTATATTTTTTTTTAAAAAATCGAAGGGGAGCTGGCCTGGCTCAGCTCTGGCAAAAAAGGCTTGGGTCATCTTTTAACCCAACTTCGGTTCGACTTATTTGCATCCCTAGATGAACTCTCAACACACAAATCTTTTATAAAATGGAAAGGAAAAACTAACTACTGATTACTGAAAACTGAAAAGGACAAAAAAATACCTTGAGGAGCTAACCTTTTATTGAAATAGCGGAGATGGGTTTTGGTAATGATGTCTGAAGATTTATCCACGTGAGAAGAGGATAGGCCCTAGGATTTGGAAGAAGACGAAACGGCTTCGCTTAGGACAAAGCAGTGAGAAACCGAAAACACTGTAAAAACATGTTACTGAAAAAATGTTTCCATAGCCATTCAAAAGGTATAAAAGATCCATAATTAGTTACCATTATAATACGTTGGATACGTACTATTTGTCACTGCAAATTGGTATTCATCGCCTAATGTGAACAGAGGTTTATGCTAACATCTAATGATGGCCCCGGATGCTTGACGCTGAGGTGTCCTGCTCCATCTTGTGGGGCTGCTATTGGCCAAGATATGATTGATATGTTGGCATCTGATGAAGATAAGAAGTATTGTCATTGCCTTTTGAGATCTGTTGGTGAAGAAAGCCAAATTGTATGTGGGTAGAGGTTTTCCAAATTCTGTCATTCTAGTATTCAGAAACGTTTGTCAATTAATTTTAGAAAATAGAATTCTATCCATAATATAAGGTAAAACAATATTTTGTGTACTCTTTTGGTAGGGTAGTGGTAGGATTGGGGTAGAAGATGAAGTTTTAAATGTTTGAGATTGCCGATGGCAAGAGTAAAAGGTTTTGAAAAATTAAAAATTTAGGATCACAGCTGCAATTATTCCTTCTTAACGAACTTGGACGGTAGGAGGTATTCGGCACGTAAAAGGTCATCAAGGGGGTTTCTTTCACCCATCTAAATTGATAGGAAGTATCCCTCAATAGAGACAAAGATCAAGAGGATTGTACACCATTTACCTCATATAAAAATTGTGTGCAATTTTAACAATCACATTGATAAATTCAATTACATTGGGACCTCACTTCTGAAAGTTAGAATCCCCTAACCATTACACTTGAACAGTTAAACCCTAATTTTCACTTAGGAGCGTATGATGTTGGTAGAAGTTGATACAAACTAATGAATCCCATAAAAACGTGTTGTTAAAAATGAAATTTGATTGACATTATAGCAAATAATAGCTATACCAAACAATCACTTAATTTTGTACAACTTAATCAAATACATGCATGGACAGGTAATACAGGACTTATTACAGCATCTGAGTCCCCCCAAAAAAAGCAGATGCAGCAGCACCAATCATGCACCTTGTCCCTAAGCAGCCTGAGGCCAAGAATCTAATCATTTTGCATGAAAAGCATTCTTAAAAGGTTGAAACCATAGTAATCCTGTTCACAAGCCTACTAATAAACTATATTATAAGTAATTATGCCCTTAAATAAGCAAAAAAAATTCAGCAATGTAACCTCCATCTCCAACATTAAATCCAACTTTTGTCTAACACAATCATTCTTCCATAGATTAATTAAAAAACAAAAAGGAGAATTAAGATCCTCTTAAAATGAGTTTATCAAGACCATCCTTTACAAGTCTTTCTCCATAAAAAGCAAACTTTCTGGTCCCCCCACCATCCCAAGTTTTTTAGATGGCAAAACCTGGGGAGAACCTATTACCATTTTGCCCTTGTTTTGAGACTGAAATTTCAATAGCCGGATTGTGTTGGCGAGTTATTCCAGCACCAGCAGCAGAGGATGACGAAGACGAGACAGCCACGCGCTCACACTGAGGACACATGGTAAGGGTGGTCGGAGGGTTCGTGTTCATGTAAAAGTGTGGTGAGAGCTTCAGTGCTCTAAGCTCGTTCACTTCCTTCTGCAATCGTCTATTTTCCTCCGTTAGATTTTCACATCGTCGCCTTAAGTAGTCGCAATCGACCTCTGTTTGCTTTAATTTTGTCCTGCGTCGTTCGTAAATTACAGTCAGTAGACAAATCGACGACAATATTACATGCACTCTTCCTCATTAGTACCATTTCACTCAAAATCGACATGATACAAACAGCTAAAGTTGGTCAAACAAGCCTCAACAGCAATTTTTCAGAAACATATGCTACCAACTTTTTTGAATGCTAATTATACCCTTAACTGCGTTGATATATTACTAACCTTGCTCTCCTGTTCTGAAACCAAACCTCCACCTGCCTAGGCCTCAGATTCAGCTCTTTCGCCAAAGCTAACTTTTGCTTCTGCAGAGCCAAAAAACCGACAGTTTAAACACAGTCCCGACAACCAAAAATAAAAAAAATTAAGGGTCAAAATGGGATCATATTTTGCTAAAAAATAAACAAATAAATGAAAACAAGGTTCTTATATTAGTTTGACTGTTTCTAAATTTTCCTTTCCGATCTATTAATGGACTCGTTTTCAGTTCAAGTCTTGTGTCTTCATGAATCAAGATTAGCACAGAAAGTACCATTGACCCACTAAAAAATTTACCAAAAATACCACTGACCGGGCTGAGAGTATTATGTTCCTTGAATGTCTCTTCAAGCACCGCAGCCTGTTCCTTGGACAGTCGTAGTTTCTTCCTTGCTGCTTCGCCGCCATCCTCCTCCTCAAGAGAGCTGGTTGCTCTCTCGCCATCGTTCTCCTCTCTCTCATTCCTCTTTCCACTTAAACTTGAGAGTGTACTGTTTGGTGATGATGCCATCACTTCTTCTTCACAGTCTACTACAGTCACCGGCCTGTTCACATCGATTCCTCGAAGAAATGATCTTGGCTCCGCAATGCAGTCTGAAAATTATAAGTACTATGAGATTTTCTCTAAAATTTCTTCTTCTTTTTTGTCCTTTAAAAAAACTTCTTTTTTATTTATTTTCATTTTTTGGAAATTTTATTTCTGCCAAAGGAAAATTTATTTACACACGAAGAAGGCCCAAAAAGGAGGAAAAGTTCTAAAAAGAAGGAATTTTCTGCGAAAATCAAAAGTTTTTACAATCATTTTGTCAGAAATCAAACATGCAAACACAGATTTGGCAAGTAAAACATATGAAATGGTTAGATTTATGTTCTTCACAAAATAAAGCAGAACAAACAGAAACATACCAGCTGGTGATTTTAACGGATCATTCCCATAATTATGATGATGCATAAAAGGCAAAGAAGACCTCATGAGATTCAAGGGGAAATTGGGTGTGGGTGGATCCGGATTCTTGTTATCTGGGCATCTCAAACTCAGACTCAAACTCAAACCCAACTCATCATCTTTCCCAGCCATCTCTCTCTCTTCTAAATAGAGAATCCAAGAACTCCTTTTTTTTCTCTCTCTCTCTCTGTATGTCTTGGATTTTATAGAGATGGAATCCAAAAGAACGAAGGGGGACAGAAGGAGAAGAAATGGTCTGTTTTTTTTTTAGCAGAGGAGTTACAGCTTTTATTAGGCCAGTGCAATACAGTCTTACAAAGATTGTAGATTCGGACCTATACTGTTTGGGAGACATTTTTTTTGTAAAAAAGTATTTTTGAATGGTAAATTAATAATAAATGTGTGGTTGAAAAATAAGGAAAAATTTTGATTTACGTGTAATATTATTTTAATAAAGAATGTAAGGTTGAAAAGAAAAGATAGAAAAATACATTTTTAAAAAAATTTACTACCAAACGGGGCAGTAGAGAGAATAGAGATATACATATGGATATAGAGATACAGGAGTGTATATATAGAGAGAGGAAATGGGAGAGTTTGGTTGGGGTTACAGATATATAGGCAGATGTTAATGATATTGTGTCAGAGGTTGCTATTGGCTCAATGATATGATGGGATATGGCTTCGATATTTGAGTTGCATTTACATTACCTTGGGACTTGGACTAACCACGGGTTTGAATTTCAACTATGGATGTGTTTGGTGATAACATAAATGTATTTTTTTGAAAAATATGTGATTTAAAAAAATGTTATGAATTCACTTGTAAATTTTTTTATTAGCAGAAATTTCTTGTAAAAATGAGCTTGAGAAAATTATATTTTCAAATAAGTTCTGCATAATGGTAAAATGTCTCGTTCCAACCCAGCTCCAAATTTTATGGATCTAATATTTAATTTTTTTAAATATGTTTATATTCCAACCATATTTATGAAAATATAAATAAATAAACACCGTAAAAATGAGGACTTTGAATTTCATTCCATGTCCCAAAAATCTTTTTTTTTTTTTTAACGAGGTGTCCCAGCTTACGCCAGACTATATCCTCGTCCCTGAACTTTCGGCCCCTCAGCAGCTCGGGGAGGTAAATCGCAGGATGTACCCAAGTTGACCAGGGTTCGAACAGCTTTTATACTTCTGGCCCCAAGGGAGCCTCCTCCATGATTATTAGATCACCAAACTGCTCCAACCCTTCCTCTGGTTATTACAACACTCAGCTGCTCCAACCAGGAATCGAACTCCCCACGCTGGGGTTGCGAGCCCCGCACTGTCCTTCCTTTACCAACTTGGATGTGCCCCGGGGGGCATGTCCCAAAAAAAAAAAAAAAAAAAAAATCTTTCATCTCATGTCATGTGTGTCATTCCTAATGACAACATGAAATTTTGACACTTTAATCGACTCCTCCTTACTTAAAGTTACAGTATACCCTGAGAAAAATTGTTTATATGTTAAAGAGATACGTGTGTTGATGTAAAACATAGTGATACAAGTTATTATAGTTCATATTAAATTAAGATTTTTAAAATTATATTATTTAGTGAAATACTATTTTACCATGCAATAATATTTCAGGTCAACCAAACAAAATGAAATGCATTTCCCTTCTGTTTCACTTTTTACTTTCCCTTTCCCTTTTATCTTTTCTTTTTCTCATTTTCAATCCTGGTTAAGTCAAATCTTACAATGTAACTTCTCATTCAAAAGCGGATTTCGTGCGTTGACTGTTGACCAAGGAGATGTTTTTCTGGTTCAATATTTGACTCACGCGCCAAAGTTTGCGTGCTGTTCAGCTTTATCTTTTTATGGAGTTTTAAGTGTGTCACTAGGGTCTATAATATTACAATGCTCGACTTATCGATCTTCAATTTGAACCGATTTGATCCATCGTATGAGTTGACTTGCGTTTTGCTTTAAAAGTGAGTCGAACCAACATTGCCAAATGTGAGCTTGTATTTCACTCGCAATTTACGAATCTATGTAAGAGACGATTCATACATGGTCAACGAGCTCGTGAGCCAACTATATATTAGCATGAGTATTTTGCTTCCCGTAGCTTGCCTCCGACGCGATCTAAGCCAGCTTGGCTCTCTACACTTAACACCCCTTACAAATATGCCATAATTATTTGTTGTCTTTTCCTTATTCTTTTTCAAGTTTTATTCTCAG